CTACTGCAAACAAAATAAAGACCAGAGTCTTTCAAAGCATGATTTAATTCATTAGAAGAAGGGGGCAAGATACCGGTCCTTTACCCATATTTCCAGTACGTTTACTATATGCCTACTGTACCCACTTTCAACATTTTCCGGCCCTGGACTGAGAATCTACTCACATCTCTGTAGAGCCTTTATTCTCAGGACGATATATTTTGCTGAATTTACATGTTGGTCCCATCACTTCTCATCTGCCAAAAACAACAATAACAGGTAGTGATTTATCAGTCATAATTGGTTTTTGAGGCTCCAGGTTGGAAATAAACTGCTCCTCTAAATAAATATTTATACACCTGGATTATTTGTTGAAAAGGAAATTATGTGATTCACACACATGCATCCACGTACATACACGTACATGTACCGGTACATGCATACTCCATCTGTATCCTGTCAGGACATCACTGGATGGTTTTGTCAAAGCAAAACATGTTGACAATGATCTTATTTCCTGTCATAAGACTGAGACACAAAGGACAGCAAAGAGAGAGTAATTTGGGGGTCCTGGTGTTGCACGTGGCTCTTTTCTAAATGTGTAACTGGAACTTGAAGTGATTTTTGTCAGCCGTATGAGATCTACATGTACTCTTGAGATCTGCCTTGTGCTTCATACTCATTCACTGTTGTTTAGTCTTAGCAGCAGTATACATGTACATGTACACATATGTAAATGTACATTATATTCTCTGTGTGTGTGCATCAGTGCTTCCCTAGTCCTTTTTAGCAGTTCTTAGCTGAATATCTCCAAGTTTGAACCAGCACTCATCAATACACCACCTTGAGATAGACCATTCAAATGTGTGCAGCATACTTGTTTCTGTAATGCACCTGTTGGATCCTGTTGGATCATAGTGCATTCCAAAGTGAGTACATACACATGTACATGTACGTGTATAATATGTTCCCAACTGGAAAGGACAGTTCTACTGGTAGCATGCATGTGTATGGGAAAGCATCCCACAGTAGTCTCTGGTGTTAACAAGCTGTCTCTTATGGCAAAAGTTCACAATTTGAACTTGTACTCCTGGTGGAACATTAAAAGTATTCCAAGTTTTGAGATGGAGCCTGATGTGACTGCAGTAAGTGTGCTTAGAAATTTCAGTTTCTCCGGTGTGTGTAGCTTTCTTAAGAATGTGAAATTTGCCTCTGGTGGTTTTTTTATGATACAAGTACTGTACAGTTAGATGTACAAGACTCATAGCCAAGCTGTTCTCTTCTACACTACCTGTACTTTCAGATGTGCCTGTATATATGCATGCACAGTTGGCAGTGTGTTACATGTATGTTTGTCAGACCTTGTCTGTTCAGTATGGGCATAGTGTTTGTATGGTGTACATGGACATTGTGCAGTGTCCTTACTGAGCTGCTTTCTGTGAGCAAATGTGTAAGTACATGTATACAGAAATTAAGACTTGCTTTAATATTAAGATACATGTATTTAAAATACAGTTCATACTTCAGTGTTTCAACTTTCCAACCATACTGTAAAGTTTGCCAACTGTTTGAATCACTAGTCGTTCATTTCCAGAAAGTACATGTAATTGAAAAATTACAAATGTTACATGTATACAGTACATGACGTACATGTAAGGAGATGGTGAAATAATGGTTTGTACTAGTTAGTCAGTAGCTGTTTCAAGCACTGGCCAAAACAGCTATTGTTTGTTTAAAGATTTTTTTTTTTTTTGTCTTTGTTTTCCACTTTTTGTTTATTGACATAATACGGGGTTGTTCTTTTGGTCCTTGTGTCGGGTCGATTCTCTTCAAACCTGGCACAGTGTTAAGACTACCGCCTGAAGATGTATGCTGAACCATGACGTTATCATGACATCATCACCTGATTTATTATAGAATTTTGAATATATATTTTTCCCCAATACACGTTTTTGTAAGCCCTTTGGGGCCACCTGGCTATCTTGCAACCTCATCAAAGTTACACGAAGCAAATCCGTAGACAACAAAATGTACTGGAAGAATGACGTCATGATGATGTCATCAGGTGTCAAATTACAGCACTTAAAATACGAAATCTTAAAAAAAATCCTCATAAAATCAACCATGAGTTCCTGCAGCTTCTATTTTGCACATAGTGATAGAGTGACCATCGGTCGTCATTTCTTCTCATGAAGGTAAAGATCGCTTGACCTTTACTTCCAGTGCAAAGTGGTCCAAACGTGATGTGCTTTATAATTTGAAATTGATAATAAATATGAACCTATTACCAACGGTGTTAGTCTCCGACCCAATAATTTTCCTCGAAACATCTACTGATGACATCATGCAACAGTTACATTTTCTCATGATTTTAACTTGGAACTCTGACAGTAGAGATGCCTCAACCTCTCGACTTCATGTACTACTCTTCTTAGTACTGCACAAGGTTCAATCACATACAGAAATACATAACGAATTATAGTATCTTCTCTAATTAATCTGTTGCAGAGAGCTCTGTGTGCTTACTGTGAAGACAGGATATGGGGCCTTGGCCGACAGGGTTACAAATGTGTTGACTGCAAGTTGCTGGTGCATAAAAAGTGTCACCGACTGGTCAAACAGCCATGCGGACCTCAGCTGGTAAGAAGTTCCTGTGATGTTTATGTTTTTGGGTGTTTTTTTTTTCAAATTTTCATTTTAGTGTTTTTTTGATAGTTGTTTCACTTCAGACTTTTTTTTTGCTAATAACAGTCTCTTAAGTTAATGAAATAAAATGAAGGCTGAAGAATTTTAGATTCATGGACTACTTTTTGAAAGGTATTTTCAGAAATATAAAACTTTCTCTTAACGTAAAAAAAATGCAGTTTTCTGAGATGTAGGGAAATACTAGAGGTGATATTGTACATTGGATATGAAAATGTAAAGAGGGATCTTTTGGCATTAATAAAATCTTTGTAAGTCATGGAATCTTGTTTTCAAACTACTGAAAAAGTCTGGAAGTTAAATAGGAATGTCAAAAAAATTATGAGGATGACATTTATCATATGTATTTTTCCCCTGTGCAAATGTACATGTATTCTTATTTTTCCCTTATAACTTTTTTTTCAGCAGGTCCACAAGTCACTAAATGAGGAGCGTAGTGGCTCTGCTAGTTCTCTTCCGTCCAGCGATAACAAACAGGAATCAGCCCACCACCAGAGAAGTGGGTGCAGCTGTTGAAAGCACATTTTTAACCAACTTTTTTTGATACTTTACATACTTTACTTGCACGAAAATTGGACACATACATAGATTTTGACTTACTAATAGATGTACATGTACATGTAGTTTGTTCAATTGAAGGATTTTGTTTTCATAAATTTAAAAAACTGCCAGGAGATTTACTTGCTATTGAACAATTTTTCAGTAGTATGAGGGAACAGAATTATTTACCTTCATAAATACCTTAGACAGTTTTCTATTCCTATTGGTCAAGAGCCAGTCATGTGGGTGGTCTTAAACAGTTGATAAAGCACCACCTGGCCGTGCACCACCTCATGTAGTGCATGCTGCTCACACACCAAGTTGTACATGAGGAGGTTGTATATTACTCGTCATGAGAGGAACATACCATAACCTGGCTAGGGGGATGTTTGAAAAAATCAAGCAAAACTGTTCAACAAATTGTTGGAAATCTATAATTTAAAAACTTGTTTTGACTTTTTGACTCAAAAGGTAATTATAAATGGAAACAAACATGTGCTAGCAGGTCTTAAACTTTCATGGAGAGTGGATATTGCTAATGTCCTTTGGCTTTGGCATTAGCCAGTTAATAGCCAAGCGCACATCTTTTCCCTTATTCGTACCAATTCTGTTTTGTGCTTCATTGCTTACCCTTTGGTGCCAGTCTAGTCAGTTGTAGCTGTCTATACTGTGTATGGTAAACAACTTATTCATTGTTTGTTTGAAATCTATCCTATCATCCCTTGTAGAATGAATGGAATGGATATTACTGAAAAAGCTGTTTGAACTTCAAGGTTGAAAGCTGCATGCTCAAACAATTTCATATGTAAATTTGTTGTGAGAAGAAAGTGTAAAATATGTATAATTTGAACTATAAACATCCAGAAAGAACTAACAAAATTCTTGTAGTACATGTCAGCACTTGGCAGTGCTTTAGTAACGGTGTGATTGCTTGCACCAAACAGGTACTAGTGGCAGTCCACGCCCCAAGCACAAATTCAGAGACAACACTCTAGTCACCCAGTACTCTGAGGGGGAGGGCAAAGAGGCCCAATCAGGTGAGACAAGCGAGAACACGGTCAGTTTGGACCATTTCAGCATGCTGCGTGTGATTGGGCGAGGGAGCTACGCCAAGGTGCTGCTGGTAGAGCAAAAGAGCACACAACGCGTCTATGCAATGAAGGTAGGGCATGAAATCTGTTCGGCTTTATACTCGCGGAGCTGACTGGGCTTTTGGTTTGAGTTAAACAAGGTTCCCCTCAAAAACAACTTGGCACATTTCTTATCACAGACAGTGTCTTTCAATAGAAATCTTGGTCAGGCGGGACCATGACAGATTGGGTTCTTCCCCGACTTTGGGGTTTGTTGTCTTGAGTTTAAAATCATCATTTGGTCTTCAGAGTTTGGACTGAATAAAAGGCTCCTATCTGAGTCTTGATATCTTACATATACAGTTTGATGTTCCTGTTAAAATTATCAAGCCAGAATCTCAAAAGTTGTGTCATGAAATTAGAACGTTAGAGGCTGAAGTTGGAGACATGGCCTGGCTGCTAGTTTCACGGAACTAGTAAACACAGATTTACTGACGGTAGAAAAGGATTTAACTCGGTAAACAGCTTTCTAACTAACCATCATCTCAAGGTATTTCTCATTGCTATTTGTCAACCAGTTTGTCTGAAGCACATTTGCTTGCTTAATAGCAAATTAGGCCTGGTAGATTTAATCCGCACATATTTTCACCTGTTGTCCCAGGTTATTAAGAAGGAGTTAGTGACAGATGATGAGGATATCGACTGGGTGCAGACAGAGAAGCATGTCTTTGAGACGGCCTCCAACCACCCTTTCTTGGTAGGCCTGCACTCCTGCTTCCAAACTCCCAGCAGGTAAGAGCAATCTTCTGTGGTTTGTTTGCAAGAGGATTGTCAGCTATGGGCAAGTGCACTTGTACTCTTGAACATGGGATAGCCCAAATTGTAATTGGGAAATCGTTGGGAGCTAGCACTGGATCCCCCTTTCCCACTACCAAATCTCCGGGTTATCTTGCGGATAACGACAAACCTTATCCCCAAGATACCCCAGGTATTTCCAGTGTTCCCATTACTCTTTTTCTGCCCCGGGTTAAGAGAAAAATTTGGCTGTTACCCCAGGGTTTTTTAACCCTGCCAGCAACCAGAGTTAAGGATATCAATCTCAGGGTTAACAGCCAAACCCCAGGGTTAGCATTAACGTGGAAAATCAAGCAGGGTTAAGCATTCCACAAGCCATCTCGGGGATTAACGCACAATGAGGCATTGCATACAGGGATGTAGGCCTATTGTTGTTTAGTTTCATTTGATTTGATTTAAATTTAATTTCCACTTAAAAACAGAGAAATCGGACTCCACTGGTTAAAAGGACATCACCAAAATAGAACATGTTATAAAAGCGTGTAAATATTATAACAAATCATAACAAATTATTACGTACTAAAGCCCACAAATTGCTTGTTAAGAAAAAAAAGACGCAAGACACTCGTAGTTAAAATTACATCAAACACATTGAAAACGTCGATTCAACATCTGTGTCCGTGCAGGGCAAGAAAGGCTCATCCATCAATTATAAGCAGAGTAATAAGTAAAATTCAACAATTGCACAAGGTGAACTCAGTGTTACTCATTAAGTCGAAAATAATCTACCACTTAGAATTTCTGTTAAAGTGTGAATAGCGTTTGGAACAAAGGACTGTCTAAACTGGCAACGCATAGTCTTGGGGACACACAAGCACACTCCCGATTGATTGTAACACAAAGGTGCAGTGGGGGTCACACATAATGCTGTGGACTTTCAAAAGAATGTATTTCTCTTACAAGGTATCGATCGAGGGAAGTTTTGATCAGCTTGTTTTCTGGGCATTTTTGCGTGATGTTTCAAGCTTTTTTATATTAATCTTTGAAAGATTGCTAAAAGTACACGAGGTTGAACATAAGGACACCCTGTATCACTGACTGATAAAATAGTATTAGAATGCTATTATCCACATGAAACTCTTGAAGTTTTCTAAGGAAATATAACCTCTGGCTTTGCTTGCTAGCTGCACATTGTGAATTTTTATTCCATTTCAGCTTCTCATCAATCACTGTTCCTAGATTCTTGTATTCAGAAACCTGCTCAGTACATTGGCCATGGTATGACCAAGGGGATATGGCTAGATCGAGAGCGCCGAAAATCAAAAGTCATTGTTTTGTATACATTCAAACCCAAGTAATGACTATCACACCAATCAACAGACCATTCAACTTGTTTGAAATATGTATCCACATCATCTTGTGATCTGACTGGAGTAAGAGTTCATCAGGAGGGGACTGGATTGATCGGTAGACTGGGTGCCAGCTAGGCCCATTGATAAATCATTTATAAACAGGTTGAAGAGAAGTGGACCAAGGACACTTCCCTTTGGGACTCCTGATGTGACAGGGGACCATTTAAAAACAGCCCCACGGTACATTACTCTTTGCCGTCGCCCCACAAGAAATACCATAATCTAAGTCCACAACTGTCCACGTATATTGAAATTCCCAGCAAGTTTGTTGAGGATATGGTGTGGCATAATGTCAAATGCTTTAGAGAAATCCATATAAGCAATATCAATGCGTGAAGGGCCAGGCTTGTCTAGGATAGTGGCCCAGTCCTGAATGGCATTCATTGTGGACAGATCAGGAATTTGAAGAGAGCATGGAGGTGGAGACTGGGGGCATGTGACAGCAGATGAATGGACAGAAGAGAAGTGTTTATTAAAGGCTTCAGCAATAGTCTCAGGTGGAGATTTCGACTTTTGTTGGTCTCGTACAAACCGCCAGAAGCTTCGTTTGTTTTCTGCAGCTGGAACAAGCAGTTAACGTAATTGCTTTAAGCTGTCTTCGTTACGGATTTAACTCAGTTCCTTATCTGTTTGTAGTATATCCAAGCATTACTCGAGTTGGTGCATTTGGCCCGTTTAAAAAGTTTAGGCTTGAGTTGTATCGGCTTCCGTATTTCAGAAGTAATCCATGGCAAGATTCTTTTACAACGACACTGCTTGCGAGAAATGCTGTCCGTTATAGCTGCTTCCATGATATTCAAAAAACCTTCCCATAGTGTGTCAGGATTGTTGCCTTCCATAAGCACACACCATGGTGCAAGATGCAAAAGGGTTTCAAAGTGTGATTTGTCAGCTTTGTGGTAGTAGATATGATCTGATAACTGCTGGCTGTGGGGGAGCTTTGACTGCTATTCAAATGAACTGCAACAAAAGTATTCCTTTGTCAAGTTTCACCCTGTTACTGGTGACTGGTCTTGTGCATGGTCTTGTGTCTGGTCTTGTGATGGTCTCGACTACAACACTGATCAATTTATCAAATCTTTCCTTTTTTGACTTCCAAAACTTAAAGCCAAGGCCCTATGATCACATTAGTTTTTGCAGCAAAGAAGTTGTGATAAAGTTGGCTTTAAATGTTCAAAAACCCATAGATGACCAAGATCAGGAACAGACATGTGCTTGAATACATCACAACCACGACAAAAACTCTTGTTGATCATCCATTTTCCTTACTTTTGACTTCTCTGTTGTGTATCTGTATTCTGAGTATTCCTCTGACTGGCTCCCTGTAGTGTCTTTTATACAAGTCTTAACTAGACTTTACAATTTCTCATTAACATATTTTGTGCAGTTATATAGGAGGAAAGACTTTACTTTAACTGGTTTTTTTTTTGGTCCCAGGTTGTTCTTTGTGATTGAGTTTGTAAGTGGTGGTGATCTCATGTTCCACATGCAACGACAGCGCCGACTGCCAGAAGAACATGCTCGCTTCTACTCAGCTGAAATTAGCCTGGCACTAAATTTCTTACATGAAAGAGGTTTGTCAGACAAGATATTGTAACCTTAACTGTGTATTCTTTGTCAGAGTGATGGATCACTTAAAGAATTTTGCTCAACACAAAAAGCTTTGTTACGAAAACAGGTTGTGAGTCAGAATCTACCTGAAACAAGTAAGTAACTACACACTAGAATTGAACAAAACTGATTCAGAAATTGGAACTAGAAACTTGATTTTCTGCTGGAATCAACTCCCTGTAATTGATTTAAGTTTCAGTTTGAGATTTCTTTTAGATACTTCAAAGCCCAATTTATGGTAAATGATTATGTTTTAGGTGAAATTGCATTGTGACTGATCACTTAACTTTTTTGGCAGGGTTAATGTGAAGTTGTTTTTAAATGGATTTACTTCTGGATGGAATTTGAATGGGAATGTAATGGGTAATTCATAAAATGTAGAAGTTGCCCTCAAAGCGTACAGCCGAAGTTCTGTCATTTGTCACTTGTTCTTAACATGCTGTTGATGGTATGCATCCCCAATTAAATAAGGGCCACTTCTTAGAGTCATACATGCATAAAGAAGTATGAAAATGTCATAGCAAATCATAAACTGCAAAATGCAGATGTCAAACAAATTTTAACAATAGTAATTGTAATGATAACTCTATAACAAAGTCAAAAAAGCCTGAGTCCAGTTTTTGTCTTTCTTCAGGTGTAATTTACCGAGATCTCAAATTAGACAATGTGCTGCTGGACTCTGATGGTCATATCAAACTGACTGATTATGGCATGTGCAAGGAGGGACTACGACCAGGTGACACTACCAGCACATTCTGTGGGACACCCAATTATATAGCTCCAGAAATACTCAGGGGTGAAGATTATGGTAGGTAAAGCTACTCAAGCAGGCGTGGCATACATGTACATAGTGTGGACCTCTGCACAAAAGAAGTCCACATTATGTAGGGTATGATGGCATTGTGTGGACTTGCACACGTCCACACAATGTTTCCCCTCTCTGAAGAACAGTTTCAGAGGCATTTTGGGGTCTAGGTTATTTGTGGCAAAATGAAGAGGAACAGTCCAGGAAATCATCATCAAAAAACAGCTCAAAGGAATTATCCTAGTTGGGAAAAAAGGAGCATTTTCCTCAAGTGTCCTTAACCACTTGCTGGTGGGGATTCCAGTTTCAGACATGTATTCTTTATACGCATGGCCGGTGGTTTCCGAAATCAGACAAAGGGAACTGGGCCTTGTAAAAAAAAGACCATACTCGTAACAAAAGTGTGGAGATAGTGGAGATAATCCAGCCTTGTTTTGAAACTGTATACCGCAGTTTTGGGGGCATTCAGCACGAGCGGATTACCACCGGCGACAAAAGCGCTCCACCACCGCAGCAATGAGCCACACTGTACCGCTGTACGCTAATCTGGCCCCTATTGAAAAGAGGTCAGCAGCGCGCACTGTGCCAGTTTCGTGAACAAAAGAAAATTATGTAACACAGCACAATCTGGGCTCTTTTTACAAGGCAGCAGGCATTGTTGAAATACTCCAGCATCAATAGATGTTTTCTGTCAGATTAGAGTAGAAACCAGACAGTCTTTCATGTGGGTGTAAGTGTCCAGTAAATGAAGATATGAACTTTTAAAGACATTTGAAAACAGAAAAGAAAATTATCCTGTCCCAGCATCATCAACATTCATAAATGCCTCTTGCGTGAAGTGGTTAACCACAGGAGAAAAAAGGAATATCCACACTTTGTATGTAAAACAGGTAGATGTGTGTATACCAAACCAGTGAGTAGTGACATTCATCTACTTGTCCACCACTGGAAGATCCGTGAAAAGCTTTTCAGTTTAAAGGGCATATGACATGAGTTTTACTTGGACATTTTTTGTTTTTCACAACACCTGAGTAATTCCTAGCATCTGATTGGTGGCTGACTGATCACATGTGACATGAATTTTTAGTGCACACAGTTGAAGCTCTCCATACACGCAGGCATACACATTGACGGCTCTTTACACGAACACACAATTTAGGGCAAACTGATAAATACAGGGCTGAGATTTCTCAGGATTTTTAAGAAGAATAATAACAGGTTCTTATGTAGCACTTTTTAACTTAAAGAGCACCTCTAAGGAAAACATATTGTCTCTTATTTTATCTGTTCAAATAAATGTGGAAGTATCAAAATTGAATGCAGTGTCATTTGTCTACGGAGCTCAACTATAACAAGCTCAGAAGGTTTACAAATGATTCATTCAAGTACTGTATCAAACAAATTACGAATGTTGCACATTCATGCAGTGGACAGAATAAACTGATTTGGTGACAGATTGAATGTACTCTTCCACTCAGCTTCTGTCACTTCATGAAATCATTCTTGCCATTATGCTGAAGAACATTCACTATTGGTATGCCACATGTAATAATGCTGAAAGCTGTTTGATATGCCTTTTTAATTAATCTTTAATAAAAAAATGTTTACCGGTAACTTTTCCGAGTTTTGGTTACAGATGAGGTTGCTGTTGCTGTGATGTCATTTCACGGGGACACTTTTCATTATGGAGAATTTCCTGCTCGAGCTGTGAACCTAATGGAAAATACACTGAACCTAATAAACCTAACTGAAAATTCACCCATTGAAACTACTCTGAGAAAAGCATGTTGCTGGCATACCATCATCAACTGAAAAAAACTGTAGCCAAAGGACATTTAAAACAGCAGAATATCAACAATTCTGGCATAAGTTGGTGCTGAAGTGAGTGGAACATTTAGGTTTCTTCCTCCAGGAATGGCGTCACACATTTGCTCATGAATATGTAAACTTGCACAAACATAAAGCCCAGTAAAATGGCAAATTCAACATTGGGTTGAGACACCCCAATGGTACATTACATTGTTTACCTGAGCCCTCTAACCCATCAGCTGTCCCTCAGAATATTCATTGAGAGATCACACTTCCATGTCCTCTGGCATGAATTGATCAAGATACGTGTACATGTAGTTTATCAGGTCTTCTTTGAAATATCTTACATAGTCATATATAAAAATAGCCCATAACCTCCCATAAAGATATCTTATGGCACCTGTGAAGAAGTTTTATATTTCAAGATTATCATGTTCATTGTTACTCAGTGAGATTTCCATGTGAAATGCATTTGTTTGCTAGGTAGTTGATACATGTATTCTTGGAATCTGTTTGATGTTAGTCTTCGCTAGCACCTTGGTATGTTCCGAGGAGTAGTGTGTTTGAGCCAGCCTGTGATAATGCCATCTTGTGGCCATTTGCTACCAGTACTAGACTTGCTCAGTGCAGTCACTATCACACCTTAGGTGTGTTTAGTTGAAGTTCACCAAGGTGTGTTAGTGATGACACTGCGCATAGTCCCTGACAGCTGCACAAGAATAGGGAGTCTACTTGAAGTGTTACTGTTTCAATTTTGGGGTACTTTATTATGCATGAAAAGTGTTTGAACTCTTCACATGAACTAGAGAAGGTACATGTACTTGGTCACTTACATGTAGCAATCACTTCCCATAAGGTCACTGGCAGCTTGATTTTGCTGTGAGATGTGCAACTGGCCAGGAGTATTTTTGTCTGAAGGGGCACAAATGTGCATTGTTCACAAAGGTGCCTTATGGTTACTACCACTGAGG